CATACCCTTTTTTCTCTCTTCTATCAACTGCAAATTGTAAACAAAAGTTCATCTCGAATTTTCCAGAAAAATTCCAGCAGAAACAGCGTGTACATGCTTGGAAACAAACTAACATTGATCCCAGGTTAAGGGGAAGGGGATAGCCGATACTCCTTTTTGCATGCTCTCTAGCCAATATGAGGCTATTACTTCCCACTGCTCTGTGTGACATTGTAGCACCCTGTCCAGCATACTGAGAGCTAAATAGTGATGGTCTGATAGATAATGGATAATCAGATGTGATAAATCCCATATCAGAAAGGCTTGAGAATAATGTGCTCATAGCAACTTTTGGCACACGTCTCTTAAAAAATTTAAAGACATTACACTCATATGTTGCATGTGTGATGCATGTTTTTATGTTGAGGTATATAAGGATGGTAGCTATACCCCACACCATTCTAGACTCATATGACGGTTTGCTACTAGTAGTAACATTTTAGGATGATAGGAATAGGATAGATAATCAAAATACTTAGCCATGTCAGGTGGTGATTAGTGATTACTGTACTATGCCTAGTTGCCTTGAGCCTATCTTATAGACTCCTTGTTACAAATTTTAATAGCTTCGAGGAGAGATTCTTACTTCTCAATGGCAGGATATTATGACGATTTAAAAGGAAAGCCTATGTTGGCCTGAATTGATTAATAATAGGATCACTCTATATGATCAGCTTATCTCACGAAGCAAAATGAATTATGCTCTTTGTTGATGTACTAGGGAAAATATATACTGCATGTTGCTTAAGTAGGGAAGGTTCAAAGTTAAAGGATGAGGGTAGTTAATAATTCAAACTTATGCCAAGCTAGATATTTTATCAAGTTAGTAAATGAAGACACCTTATCTATTTTAGCATTAGCAACTAGCTTCTTCGTTGTAGCGGCAATGAAATAGACCAGAGGGCAACACATGATGTGCATGTTCAGGGTAAAAACTCGGGATTTATAGTACAATTATTGCAAAAATAGTATTTTACATTCACTAAAAGAAGGGTCCTCTTCCCACCCTCTCGCTCTCTCTAAACCACTCTGGTCTATGTTTGCTAATTTGTATCTCTAATGATATGAAAAGAGAAATAAGTGCCTGTTGGAACTGTAATTCTCACTTGTATTTCAGTGATTCAGGTTCCTTAAATCTTGCAGGCACAAGGACAGCATATGATCGTTCCCTCCATGCAAGGCAATGAGTAGCTGATCCTATCTTCTTTTACCAATTTTAAGAGTTCTAGGACTGGTTATATTGTGTAGTTCCAACACCTATAGGATCTTTAATGTGGATTCATCTTATTTATGCAAAGCTACCTACCTTGGGGGTTTTCGGTTCGCCTTTTCTTAGGTGATTTGGAGCTCTGTAAAAGGTTTTTAAGTGCTGTAAATTTGGCTTTTTTTATCTGATATATAATTGCTTTGTGAATTGGAGAAAAAGAAAAAGTATTCTATACATCTTGCAAGCTTTTGAGCTCTATCAAGGCATGGTTAGATTGGTATCTAATGATCTGAATGCCATGCAAACCATGAATGATTTTGACTTCTTACATTTTCTTTGATGGAGATTTTGGCACTGCCAAAGGCTGAGTAACTGAACTAATTTGAAATTTGTACTATGAAGTTTGCCAAGTTGTATCCATCTTAAAATCATTTTTAGACTTGGATTGAGTTTGACATTGGTTTTTTATTCTAAACCTATGGTTTAAAATTTGTAAAATTTGATAAAATCATACTCAAACTCTCACTTAAACTGAAATTTCATCATGTTTGAGGATTTAATTATTTAAACCGAAATTGAGTGTACAAAGAATTTAATTATACAGTGGAACCCATGGTACAAGACTTGTGCGACTCTTTGAGCCTTGAGTCTCAACCCATGACCATCTTTAGGCTTATTATGCAGTTCTTGACCCTGGAGTTTTGAGCTTTGATCAATAACAAATGAATGTATCGATGTACAAAAGATTATTTTAATTGGAATGTATATCGTTCACGTTTATAAAATTTTTAAAATTTTTTATTTTTTAATTTAAAATTAAAATATTTTTTCATTATTTTTGAGATGTGAATGTGATATTTTTTCCTACTCAAATATTTCCTGTAAAAGGTTCAACATGATATTTTTTTTTCTTCCACTCAATCTGATAAATGAGGACCGTTGATCACTTCGTCTGCGTTTCATCTAAAGGTGCTTGACAGCATAAGTTGAGTTTAAATTGAATCTATTTAAATTGGGTCTATGATCAATACGGGATTAAAATATTTTATGATTTGTTTCGAAGATTTGATATATTTACGTATTTTTTTATAATAGAAAAAACATTACTAACCAAATTTAGGATTTTAATCAAATCTGGATCTTCCTTTTGTGGCTTGAGTATAAACAAATACGTGATCGCATGAGACATGAGGGATTGTTCTTAGGAACCCTTCCACACCACCCACAAATAACGACATCATACGTGGCAGAGCAAGATTGTGATATATGGTCGTGACCGCATGAAATCATAACTTTCCCTATCACCAATCAACAGGTAGCAGCACGGGACATCAGCTTGTGCTGAGGGGTGGACACGTTAGATACACGTGAGTCAAAGACATTTGGTTCCAGCACAGACAGAGAGAGACGGCGTGGTCACATCATCTATTTCTTGTCGTGTGATCTGTCGCTTAAGCAAAGCAATGCAAAAAACCAAGCCAAGCCAAAAGTACGGCGGTTTGCTTTTCTTGCTTACCACTACATGAAGGGCACAACACAAAGTAGAAAAAAGAAGAAAGAAAAAATAAAACCTGAAAGGGCAATGGTTTCATGTCTTCTTATCCCACGACGTGACCATCATTCCTTGCCTGCACGAGCCAGCCAGCTCAATCCCGCCCTTCCCACTTGGCTTCTGCGGAGAAGCTATCTCTCTATGTCTGAAAATTCCCTTTTGGCTGCTTCCCATGTAACCACATGAAAAGATTGTCACGCCATCACTCCCTCTCTCTCTCTCTCTCTCTCTCTCTCTCTC